CAAAGGATCTGTACTCAGAAAACTATAAAATACTCATGAAAGAAATTGAAGAAGACACAAAGAAATGGAAAAACGTTCCATGCTCATGGATTGGAAGAACAAACGTTGTGAAGATGTCAATGCTACCTAGAGCAATCTACACATTCAATGCAATCCCCATCAAAATGCCAACCACTTTTTTTCAAAGAAATGGAACAAATAATCCTAAAATTTGTATGGAAGCAGAAGAGACCCCGAAGAGCCAGAGGAATCTTGAAAAAGAAAAGCAAAGCTGGCGGCATCACAATTCTGGACTTCCAGCTCTATTACAAAGCTGTCATCATCAAGACAGTATGGTACTGGCACAAAAACAGACACCTAGATCAATGGAACAGAATCGAGAGCCCAGAAATGGACCCTCAACTCTATGGTCAACTCATCTTTGACAAAGCAGGAAAGAATGTCCAATGGCAAAAAGACAGTCTCTTCAACAAATGGTGTTGGGAAAATTGGACAGCCACATGCAGAAGAATGAAACTGGACCATTTCCTTACACCACACACAAAAATAGACTCAAAATGGTTGAAAGACCTAAACGTGAGTCAGGAGTCCATCAAAATCCTAAAGGAGAACACAGGCAGCAACCTCTTCAACCTCAGCCGCAGCAACTTCTTCCTAGAAACATCGCCAAAGGCAAGGGAAGCAAGGGCAAAAATGCACTATTGGGATTTCATCAAGATAAAAAGCTTTTGCACAGCAAAAGAAACAGTCCACAAAACCAAAAGACAACCGACAGAATGGGAGAAGATATTTGCAAATGACATATCAGATAAAGGGCTAATATCCAAAATCTATAAAGAACTTATCAAACTCAACATCCAAAGAACAAATAATCCAATCAAGAAATGGGCAGAAGACATGAACAGACATTTTTCCAAAGAAGACATCCAAATGGCCTACAGACACATGAGAAAGTGCTCAACATCGCTCGGCATCAGGGAAATCCAAATCAAAACCTCAATGAGATACCACCTCACACCAGTCAGAATGGCTAAAATTAACAAGTCAGGGAACGACAGATGTTGGCGGGGATGCGGAGAAAGGGGAACCCTCCTACACTGTTGGTGGGAATGCAAGCTGGTGCAACCACTCTGGAAAACAGTATGGAGGTTCCTCAAACAGTTGAAAATAGAGCTACCATACGATCCAGCAATTGCACTACTGGGTATTTACCCCAAAGATACAAATGTAGGGACCCGAAGGGGTACGTGCACGCCAATGTTTATAGCAGCAATGTCCACAATAGCCAAACTGTGGAAAGAGCCAAGATGTCCATCGACAGATGAATGGATCAAGAAGAGGTGGTATATATACACAATGGAATATTATGCAGCCATCAAAAGGAATGAGATCTTGCCATTTGCAATGACATGGATAGAACTGGAGGGTGTTATGCTGAGTGAAATAAATCAATCAGAGAAAGACATGTATCATATGAACTCACTGATATGAGGAATTCTTAATCTCAGGAAACAAACTGAGGGTTGCTGGAGTGGTGGGGGGTGGGAGGGATGGGGTGGCTGGGTGATAGACATTGGGTAGGGTATGTGCTATGGTGAGCGCTGTGAATTGTGCAAGACTGTTGAATCACAGATCTGTACTTCTGAAACATAATGCAACATATGTTAAGAAAAAAGAAAAAGAAGATAGCAGGAGGGGAAGAATGAAGGGGAGTAAGTCGGAGGGGAGACGAACCATGAGAGACAATGGACTCTGAAAAACAAACTGAGGGTCTAGAGGGGAGGAGGGTGGGGGGATGGGTTAGCCTGGTGATAGGTATTAAAGAGGGCACATTCTGCGTGGAGCACTGGGTGTTATACACAAACAACGAATCATGGAACACTACATCAAGAACTAATGATGTATTGTATGGTGATTAACATAACAATAAAAAATTAATAAAAAAAGAAATTTTCCTGTTATTTTTCTACCTTTGATTTATAGTTTCATTCCAATGTGGTCAAAGAGCACACTCTGTATGAATTTAATTCTTTAAATCTGTTGAGGTCTATGTTACAGCTCAGGATATGACATTTTGGTACATGTTCCATGGGCACTTAAAAAGAATGTGTATTCTTAGCTGTTAAGTGTAGTGTTCTATAAGTATCAATTAGATCCTGTTCATTGATGGTGTCACTGAGTTCTTGTATATCTTCTCATTTTCTGTTTAGTTGTTTTCATCAATTGGTAAGAGTGGAGTGGTGAATTCTCAACTATAATTGTGTATTTGTCCTTTTTCCTTTTAGTTCTATTAGTTTTTGTTTCATGTATTTTGAAGTTCTCACTTGGTGCATATATATTTAAGATTTCTATGTTTTGGTGAACTAATTCTTTTGTCATTATATAATGTTTCTCTCTAATAATTTTATTTATCTAAAGTCTAACTTATCTGATATTAATGTAGTTACTCCTATTTTCCTTTGACTAATGGTTGCATGATACAGCTTTTTTCATCCTTCTACTTTGAACTTGCCTAATCATTATATTTTAAATGAGTTTTTTGCAATCAGTATATGATTGGGCCATGTTTTTAAATATACCCTGCCAATTTCTGTCTTTTTATTGATGTATTAGACATCTTCTACACTTACTGTAATTATGGGTATGTTAGGGTGTAAGTCTGCCATTTTTTGTTTTATGTTCTTTCTATTTTCTCCCCCCCACCTTTCTATAGGATACATGAACATTTTTTAGAATCCATTTTTATTTATCTGTATTGTTTTGAGGTTGCCTCTTAGAATAGCATTTTCAATTGTTGCTTTAGGTATTACATTATATAAACATAACATAATCTACTTGTTTTGTCATTTCACAAGTTTGAGTACAGTATAGAACGCTTACCTCCCTTTATGTCTGTTTACCTAGTTTCTAATACAGTTGTCAAATATTTACTCTACATACATTTTGAATTACATTAAGCAGTGTTATCATTTTTGTTTCAACAATCAAATATAGCTTAGAAAACTCAAGAGGAGAAGGAAAGCCTATTATATTTAGCCATATCTTCACTTATTGTATTCTTCCTTCCTTCCTGATGTTCCAGGTTTCCTTCTTTTTATCATTTCTGTTCTGTTTAGAAACTTTCTTTAGCCATTCTTTTAGGATAGGTCTGCTGTCAAAAAAATTCTCTTCGTTTCCCTTCATCTGAGAATGTATCGATTTCCCCTTTATTCCTAAAGATATTTTTGCCGGGTATAGGATTCTGAGTCAGCAGTTCTTTTTATCCAGCTCTTGAAAAGTATGTGTCACTTTCTTCTGGCCTCCATTATTTTTGATGAAAATTTTACTGCCACTCTAATTATTTTCCCATGCAGGCAAGGTATCATATTTCTCTGACTACTTTTACAATTTTTTCTTTGTTCTTAGTTTTCAGAAATTTATTTCAATGTGTCTTGGCATGCACTTCTTTGGGTTTGTCCTATTTGGCGTTTGCTCAGCTTTTGAATCTGTAGTTTTATATTTCTCGTAACATTTGGGAAATTCATACATTATTTCTTTGAGTATTTTTTAGCCTCATCCTTTCTTTTCTCCTCTAGGACTCTGATGACATGAATATTAGATTTTTTGTTATACTTGCACAGATCCTGGAAACTACTTTCATTTTTTTAAAGTCAATATTCTCTCTGTTGTTCAGATTGGGTAATTTCTATTGGCCTATCTTCCAGTTCACTAATTCTTTCCTCTTTCTCCTCCATTCTGTTGTTGGGCCCATCTACTGAGATTTTTATTTCAGTTAGTATTTTTCAGTTCTAAAAATTTCCATTTGGTTCTTTATATCTGCTATATTTTTGCTGAGACCTCCTATTTTTTTCTAAGACCTATTTTTTCATTTATTTCAAGTATGTCTTAATTACTGAAGCAGTTTTGTCATGGCTATCTGGGATCCTGGACCTCCCCATGATCCAGAAAGTTGAAAGTCAATGCTGAGAAAAGCAGGTCCTCCAAACTCCTGCTTTAGACCTAAGGCTTGGGTCCATTCTGGTTTGTTTGCTTGTGGCATACCATTGTTAAAATAGTTTGATCTCATCCTGATTATATGAATGAATGAATGATGTCCAGAAGCTCCAAGCTTATCTAGCACATCTAAGCCAAATCAATAAAATTCCTCTGAATATGCTTTTCTCCATAGTCTGCATTATTGCTTATAACTATTATTGTGATTGAGTCCCCTTTTTTTCATATATTAACTCTGGCCTGAGTATATACAGTGAGGTGTTCTAGTAGTGTCACCATAACTCCAAGCCAGTTCTTCCTTGTTTCATTTCTAACCAAAGTATTATTTCCTGAGATAGGCCTTTTTTGGGATATAGTCTTTGTGCCTCCAAAACTGGCTCACAGGTCACACCATCACAGCCTGCTTCATGGGCCATGTTACTTATTTCACGTTTTGCAGTGAAGTCTGTCTTCCTTCCTATTGGGCTTTGGTTCAAGAGAAGTTATGAAATGACTCCCTAGGATTACATTCTAAACCCATTTCCTCCTCAAACACTAGTTATTTGTCATCTCTATCCACAGTCCTTTCCCTAGTCCACAAGGTAGGCTTCTAATTTTTTTAACCTAGGACTGCCATCTATATTCTATAAAATTTTTCTTGACTTGATATTTTTTCTTTGATTTAGTTATTCTGTTATCAATCCCCTTTACTCTGTAGACAAACCAATGTGTCCTCTATCCTTCTTTTATGGTTCTATCCACTCTTAAAAATTATCCATTGGCTTATTGGGAACTCACATCTCTTGGAATTTTCAGCTTTTGCATTTCTCTATGAACAGATGAATAGTTGAGACTGAGAAGCAGAAGCATTCAAGTTCTGATTATCTATTTGCCAATTACAAGGCGGCCATGATTTTCAGGAAGAGATTGATTACTTCAAATCCTCATTCTCATGAAATTACTTTGAAACACTTGAACTTGGTATTTGAGATTGCTAGTTGCTGACTTTATTTATTTATTTTTTTTAGGCAGCACTCAGCATATTTGGCATGGTTGGTGGACCACTTCTGGGCTTGTTTGCTTTGGGCATTTTGGTTCCCTTTGCCAACTCAATTGTAAGTATAAAGAGTGAGTATGTGTAAAGCTTACTTTCCCAACTATAGTAGCAGCTCTATAATTTTTTCTCATTTGGAAAGATATAGTTCCTTTAATATCTGTCATTAGTGACTTGATGACTTAAATTACTCATATTGACTTTGCTGGGGTATAAAATAAAGTGCTATGCACTGGGACTTTGCATATATGAAACTAAATGGAAACTGCCAAAATAATATATATTATAAGTATTATATAGCTAAATCATAATATTATAATATAATTATATAACTAACTATATAATATACACTGTATAACATAACTAAAAGATATATATTATGAAACAATATATATTATATTGTACACTATATATAATATATATTACAAATAGTATATAATATAACTAAAGGAGCAACATTTTTTGTGCATTTATCTTTTTGCCCTTCTTGAAAATCACTAGGATTTCTAGAAACATTTTTTTAAATTTAAAATAAATTAATTGAGGGCGCCTGGGTGGCTCAGTCGTTAAGCGTCTGCCTTCGGCTCAGGTCATGATCCCAGGGTCCTGGGATTGAGTCCCACATTGGGCTCCCTGCTCAGCGGGAAGCCTGCTTCTCCCTCTCCCACTCCCCTTGCTTGTGTTCCTGCTCTCACTGTCTCTCTCTGTCAAATAAGTAAATAAAATCTTTAAAAAATAAAATAAAATAAATTAATTGACACATAGTATATTATTAGCTTCAGAGGTCACTAAACTCTACCTCTAAAAATCACTAGGATTTAAAGAAAGGAGATCAACATGCTCAGATGTGAAAAGATTTAAGGGAAAAAGAGCTGAGGATACCTGTGAATAGCCAGAGTACAGCAGAGAGAAGCAATAAGATAAGTGTTTCACCACCTTGACCAGAGAGTTTATATTCCTGATATTTAAAGCTGTAGTTCCAATATCATGGTTCTGGCCCCAAAGGGGTGATCATAATTGGGAATAGTATCCAGAATGAGGTAATATCTCTCTTCTACACAGACATTTCTGTGCTTTGAAGTACTAAATTTTGTTTGGAATAAATTAAATTGAAATTATTTCTGTGAAAGCCAGGAGAAACTCCGCTGGGTCAGTCCTGCTGTAAGCTGAAGTTCAGGAAAAACTGATAATGTATATATGGTTTTTCATGCAGACATTGAATAAAAGCAGAACCATGACTTTGCATTTAGAATTCCATTTTCTTCATGAAGCATTAGGGATTGGTAAGGCAGCTACTAATAAGGGCTATTACCATTATTATTAATGATAATTCTTAAGGAAAATAATTCTTAACAGATGGTAGCTACACTTGTGGTAAGCATCGCATAACGTATAGAGATATTGAATCACTGGGTTGTGTCCTGAAACTAATGTAACATTGTGTATCAACTGTACTCAAATAAAAATTAAAAAAAAATTATTCTCGGGGGCCTGGGTGGCTCAGTTGATTAAGCATCTGCTTTCGGCTCAGGTCATGATCCCAGGGTTCTGGGATCGAGCCCCATGTTGGGCTCCCTGCTCAGCAAGAAGCCTGCTTCTCCCTCTCCCTCTGCCTCTGCCTGCCACATCCCTGCTTGTGCTCTCTCTTTCTGTCAAATAAATAAAATATTTAAAATAATAATTATTATTCTCAAAAAAATAATTGTCAGTGAAGTATCATATGAAAAGCCAGTTTGGTAGAAATTAATCAAAATGAAAGAATAGTTTGTATCTACCTTGGAATGTTGAAGCTTTGATTAGACTCTTTGCATTATGAAATGCACAGTGGTTTGTTGAGTGTCTGAAATATTAAGAAAGACTGACTTGGTTTTTGACATTTACTACCACCGTGGGTTGCCTTCAGAAAAGCTGTAGCAGACTAGGTCCCACATAACCTTTTCTCAGGAGAACTATGATATTATTACTCCTGTCATAGGAGGTACCTCTTTTTACAATACCCACATTTTTCATTAGCAGAATATCTACTCTTGCTTTGGAATGGACTTCCTGCCTTCCTCTTTCCCTCCATCTTTCTCTCCCTTCCTCTCCTTCTCTTCCTTTGCTTTTCACCCTCCCTCATTTTCTCCCTCTTTTCCCCCTTCTTCTCATTCATTCATTGAGTATTTATGAGCTAAGCACTGTTCTGGGAATAGAGAACACTGAATATTTCTGCCCTCATGGGCTTTATAATTTCGTGGATTTTTGATCAAGCCATATACAATGCTGAGAATAAGCAAGTCTGGCCTGTCAACAGCTGGCCACACTACTATTCCACCTCATGTTATTGAAAAATATTTAGTGCATGCCTGCTATATGTCCAGCACTGTAGTAAGTGCTGGGGTACCAAAACCAAAAATATCTAATTCTGCTTTCAAGGTTCACAGCTTAATGAAAGAGCTCAGAGTGTTTGTCCCCAACACAAATCATCTGATCTTGTCATCAGCCTTCATCTTACAACACACCATTCTTTTTTCCTGCCCTGTGATTTTGCTTATGTTTTTCCCCTTACTTCAAATATTCTCCCCTGTCTTCTCTATGGTGAGCCCAAGGCAAAAGCTGCTTTGTCTGGTCAGTATTCTTAAAATAAGGGGGAAATTTTCACCACAGAAGAAGAGGCCTACCAGCTTGAGGTTTGCTTTTGGCCCACTCATTTGGAACTAGGGCTTAAATCATTCAAGGTCTGGCAGAACACTTGGACTGCTGGTGAAAAGCAGAAACGGGGAACCCAAGTTTTCCAAAGATTGAGAAACCAGATGTCTTCAGAGGGGACATCTCTTCTTGTCTTTAGAAATACTTGGTGTGGTTGTTTGCACCATTGCAGTCATTTGTGAACACTGCTTCCTCTTTCCCCCCTAATTACCCTGAAGCACAATTACAATCATGCATGTTGTTAAGTATGGAAATGAACTCTGTGTCTGCTTTCCCCTTCATAGTCTGTTGTTCATTTGGCATACCATTTGTTCACAGATTAAGCAAAAATAGAGGGGACAGTTGGCCTGGGGTCAACCATGTGATTGTTGTAATTCTTTGGGTGTGAAGAGAGGAGGAGGCCAGAACAGAGTGCTAGCCATGGAAACAGAGTAGAAGGGATGAAATTATGAGACTGACAGAAAGAAAAATGAGCAGGGTGAGATAGGGATATGAAAAGGGAATGGAGTTACCGAGTCCCCAGGGCTCTGGGCTGAGGGACCAGTGGCCCATGCCACCCTTAACAAGAAGCAAGGATCTTGGGAGAGAGAATGCTTTTAGGAGAGAAGATGGTAAATCTGGCTTGGACCATGCTAAGCTTAATCTTCTGATGTTAATTTCTATTTCAAAGAAAACTCTAAGCATTTAAAAGCATTCTTGTTTTACAGGGAGCACTTGTTGGTCTGATGGCTGGATTTGCTGTTTCTTTGTGGGTCGGAATTGGAGCTCAACTTTATCCTCCACTGCCTGAAAGAACTATGCCACTAAGCCTTGAAACCTATGGCTGTAACAGCACATACAATGTGACAAATTGGGTGACAACCACAGAAATGCCATTTTCTACTAGTGCTTTTCCAGTACACAATGTGGGAAGGTATTGAATTAAGCTTTATGATGTAATATTTTAAAGAAATGGATATGACAGGTAGAGAACCCCAGTTGCTTTTTGTCTTGCCTGCAGTGCTGTGATTTTCCCTAATTCTGAAATGGGTAGAGCCCTTGTGGCTTCTGGCTACAGTATTTTGTTTGGAAACAACAAAAATTCCTATATGTTCTTAATTTTGGTAGAAACCTCTGCCTCACAGATCTGGAGAAGACTTGAATAATAACAAAAAAATTCTATTATGGGTAAATGCTACCAAATATCAGCTCTAGTTGAATGAAAAATCATCTTTGTGAACTAAAAATGTTTTAAAATGAAAAGCAAAATTATAAAAGAAACGTTGCTTATATAGGCTTTGAAGTATAGCCTTTAAAGTCTAAAAGCTACAATCATCTAAATATGTTAGATCATTCCTATTTGTTTAGATTTAATAATTCCTGATCTTTAGAGCACTGGCAATGGGTTGCAGCTGTGATCAACTCACTTGCTAGAGTTTTCTGTATGCAGTATATTTTGGGCTCTGGATCCTTATTTCATCTGATTTAATGAAATGATGTAGATCTATGGGTAGGTGAGTGTTCTATAATATAGTGGATATAGGGCAAGACTTTCTTTAGTGGACAATTAAATGTCCAGCCTTAAAGCATAAACCCCTTGGAGATATTCAAGGAATACAAAGATGAGGTTGCTGCCCCCAAATTATTGCCCCCATTTCCAGCTTTCCTAGAAGGAAACCATTAAAGACTCATTCCCTTTGGGTCAAGACATGATGGCTGCCTTTTAAACTGGACGCACTCCTGAGAGAAGGAATGTGACTTATTATTAGTGATTCATGTTCCAAACAAAACCCCACTATGAGAATGCTTGCCAATGGAAGTTCAATGCTGGTAAATGCTGTATGAGTAGAAAGAAAAGGTAGTTCCAGAGCCTGAGGCATATTTGGGGGAGGTTTGACTAGGTGAGGTGCCATGGGGTGAGGGGCAGGGAAATGCCAGAAGCAGTTTGGACAAGCATGAACACACTAATGTTTGTGGGGGGAGGGTAGTTGTTTGAGTCAGAAAGGGAGAAAAAAAATAATAAAAGGGTACATGGGAGGATGTTCAGGATATACTTCTTGTTTCACAATTTTGCTTAGCATTTGTCCTGATTGTATAATAACTCTTTATTTAAGAGTCTGAAGCAAAATAGTTATTTTGATTCTGAAACAAATAAATTAGCTGAAGTTTAGTATGTGCCTGGTACCATAATAATTTTATATGTTAACTTATTTGTAAAATAACAGGTAATAAACAAGAATTTCTAAGAATGAACTATATACTCAGCTCCGGGCTGGCCATTTATGTAGTATCCCAAGAAAGTCTTCCCTTCTTATTCACTGTGGTTCCTGCCTTCCGGAAATTTATAGTCTATATGGAGAGAGTTTGCTAATATACACAAAACAATTAATTCAGTAAGCACAGTAAGTATAAAACTAGCACATGGTAAATAGTAATAAGTACTTGATAAATATCTGTTAAAAGAATGAATATAAACAAAGTTGGAGTGATTAGCATCAAGACCTTAGAGAGGTAGTACTACTTGAAGGATACAGAGGTTGGCTAGAAGGAGAAGTTCTGGAAAGTCACAAAATGACAAGGGAAGTTGGACAAGAAAATAAACACTTAAACAGTGGTATTCATAGGCGATCAAGAGAGCCAGAGGGATGAGGAGACTAACTCTTCCTGATGGAGCCAAGGAAACCTTAGGGGAGGATTACGTGAGCTGGAATTAATCAGGTGAACAGGGTTGGGCAGAAGGGACAGAAAGAAGTGTATATTGCACAATGGAGAAACAGTATATGCAAAGGCATGAAGGTCTGAAGCCACATGGTATCTTAGGAAATCATACATAGTTCAGTGTCCCTAGAGTACAAAGGAAGTAAACTACACAGCTGAAGATGAAACAAAATACCCTCTGGTTGCCTAGATACCATGTTTCCATTACCTAGATTTAGTTTTTATTCTTTAAGTTCCCAATGCTTGATGGGTATATACTGATAGCTCGTCCTAATTTTATTTTTTTAAAAATTTTTTTAAAGACTTTATTTATTTATTTGACAGAGAGAGACACAACCAGAGAGGAAACAGAAGCAGGGGGAGAGGGAGAAGCAGGCTTCCCGCAGAGCAGGGAGCCTGATGCGGGACTCGATCCCAGGATCCTGGGATCATGACCTGAGCCGAAGGCAGACGCTTAACGACTGAGCCACCCAGGTGCTCGTCCTAATTTTAATTTGCATTTCCTTTATGATTAATTACGTTCAATGCCTTTTTATTATATGTTTTTTGGGCCATTTCCATTTGGATATTTACTTTTGCGACTTGGCTGTTGAAATCTTTTTTTTTTAAGATTTTATTTATTTATTCATGAGAGACACACAGAGAGAGGCAGAGGGAGAAGCAGGCTCCCCGTGGAGCAGGAAGCCCGAGGTGGGACTCAATCCCAGCACCCTGGGATCATGACCTGAGCCAAAGGCAGACGCTTAACTGACTGAGCCACCTAGGCACCCGCTATTGATATCTTTAATCCAGTTTTAAATGGATTCTCAGTTTTTTCTTATTTATTTAGGACTTTTTGATATGGTCTAGATACAAAATATATTTTGAAATATTTTTCTCCTGCTTTGTGGGTTGCCTTTTTACTCTCTTAATGATACTTTTTGGTGGTCAGAATTTCTTCATTTTTATTAAGTTCAACTCATCAGTCTTTTTTTTTTCTTTCAAGTTTTTATTTAAATTGCAGTTAGTTAACACATAGTGTAATATTAGTTTCAGGAGTAGAATTTATTGATTCATCACTTACATATAACACCCATTGCTCATCACAAGTGCCCTCCTTAATGCCCATCACCCATTAAACCCATCCCTCCTCCCATCTCCCCTCCAGCAACCCTCAGTTTGTTTTGTATAGTTAAGGGTCTGTTTTATGGTCTGCTTCTCTCTTTTTCCCCCCTATGTTCATCTGTTTTGTTTCTTAAATTCCACATATGAGTGAAATCATATGGTATTTGTCTTTCTCTGGCTGACTTATTTTGCTTACTCTAGCTCCATCTACATTGTTGCAAATGACAAGATTTCATTCTTTTTTATGGCTGAGTAACATTCGATTGTGTATATGTACCACATCTTCTTTATCCATTCAGCAGTTGATTGACTTTTTAGCTCTTTCCATAATTTGGTTATTTGGTTGATAGTGCTGCTATAAACATCAGGGTGCATGTATCTCTTCAATTCAGTATTTTTGTATTCTTTGGGTAAATACCTGCTAGTGCTATTGCTGGATCATAGTGTAGTTCTATTTTTAACTTTTTGAGGAACCTCCATTCTGTTTTCCAGAGTGGCTACAATGGTTTGCATTCCCACCAACAGTGTAGGAGGGTTCCCCTTTCTCCACATCCTCTCCAACATCTGTCATTTCCTGAGTGGTTAATTTTAGCCATTCTGACAGGTGTGAGGTGATATCTCATTGTAGTTTTGATTTGTATTCCCCTGATGATGAGTGATGTTGAGCATCTTTTCGTGTCTGTTAGCTATTTGTATGTCTTCTTTGGAGAAATGTCTGTTCATGTCATCTGCCCATTTCTTGACTGTATTATTTGGTTTTTGGGTGTTGAGTTTGATAAATTCTGTGTAGATTTTGGATACCAACCTTTTATTAGATATGTCATTTACAAATATCTTCTCCCATTCCAAAGGTTGCCTTTTAGTTTTGTTGATTGTTTCCTTCACTGTGCAGAAGCTTTTTATCTTGATGAAGTCCCAATAGTTCATTTTTGCTTTTGTTTCCCTTGCCTCTGTAGATATGTCTAGTAAGAATTTGCTATGGCCAATGTCAAAGAGGTTGCTCCTGTGTTCTCCCCTAGGATTTTGATGGCTTCCTGTCTCACATTTATGTCTTTCATCCATTTTGAATTTATTTTTGTGTGTGGTATAAGAAAGTGGTCCACTTTCATTCTTTTGTAAGTTGCTATCTGGTTTTCCCAACACAATTTGTTGAAGAGACTCTTTTTTCCATTGGATATTCTTTCCTGCTTTGTCAAAGATTGATTGACCCTATAGTTGTGGGTCCATTTTTGGGTTTTCTATTCTCTTCCATTGACCTATATGTCTGTTTTTATGCCAGTACCACATTGTCTTAGTCACTACAGCTTTGTAATATAACTTGAAGTCCAGAATTGTGATACCTGCAGCTTTGCTTTTCTTTTTCAAGATTTGGGGTCTTTTGTGATTCCATACAAATTTTAGGATTGTTTGTTCTAGCTCTGTAAAAAAATACTGGTGATATTTTGATAGGGATTGCATTAAGTGTATAGGTTACTTTGGGAAGTATAGACATTTTAAGAATATTTGTTCTTCCAATCCATGAGCATGGAATGTTTTTCTATTTCTTTGTGTCATCTTCAAATTCTTTCATAAGTGTTCTATAGTTTTCAGAGTACAGATCTTTTACCTCTTTGGTTAGGTTTATTCCTAGGTATCTTATGTTTTTGGGTACAATTTAAATGGGATCAATTCCTTGATTTCTCTTTCTGCTGCTTCATTATTGGTGAATAGAAATGCAACAGATTTCTGTACATTGATTTTGTATCCTGTGATTTTACTGAATTTGTGTATTAATACCAGCAGTTTTTTGGTGGAGTCTTTCAGGTTTTCTACATAGAATATTATGTCATTTGAGAATTAAACCAAGGATGTAACAAGAAATAAAGAAGGGCACTAAATCATAATAAAATGGTCTATCTAGCAAGAAGATCTAACAATTGTAAATATTTATGCCCTCAACTCAGGAGCACCCAAATATATAAAACAGCTAATAACAAATTAAAGGAACTCATTGATAATAATACAATAATAGGAGGGGACTTTAACACACCACTTACACCAATGGACAGATCATCTAAGCAGAAAATCAACAAAGAAACAATGGCTTTGAATGACACACTGAACCAGATGGACTTAACAGATACGTTCAGAACATTTCATCCTAAAGCAGCAGAATACACATTCTTTTTGAGTGCACATGGGACATTCTCCAGAATAGATCACACACTAGGTCACAAATCAGGCCTCAATAAGTACAAAAAGATTGAGATCATGCCATGCATATTTTCTGATCACAATGCTATGAAACTTAAAGTCAACCATAGGAAAAATTTGGGAAGACCACAAATACATAGAGGTTAAAGAACATCCTACTAAAGAATAAATATTCATTCTTTTCCTATATTTTTAGTCCTTTGTGTGTCCCAATTAAGAAATCTTTGCTTATCCGGAGGTCATAAAGAGATTCCTCTAATTTTTCATTTAAAAGCTTTATTGTTAACTATTTCCATTAATGAAATGTAATCTACTTTGGAATTGATTTCTGTAGGTGCTGTAATCAAGACTCATTTTTTCCCATATGGATATTCAATTAACTAAACACCACTTTTTGAAAAGACATTTCCTTTGCCCCATTGCAAGGCAGTGTCAAATTTGATGTAAACCAGATATTATTTTCTCATGCGTCTGTATCTTGATTCTCTATTCTGTTCTATTTTGTCTGTTTTCCCCCCGGTAATACCACATGATCTTAATTTCAATAGCTCACTTCAATGTATTTCCCTTCTTTCTGGGATCTTGGCCCCTCAAGTCTTAATTGTTGTGACTCTCTGGTGTCTTAAAAAAAAAAAAAGCCTGCCTGGCCCATTCCTCCACTTTTTAAAAAAGATTTTATTTATTTATTTGACAGAGACATAGCAAGAGAGGGAACACAAGCAGAGGGAATGGGAGAGGGAGAAGCAGGCTTCCCACCAAGCAGGGAGCCCAATGCGGGGCTTGATCCCAGGACCCTGGAATCATGACCTGAGTGAAGGCAGCCGCTTAACTGACTGAGCCACCCAGGTGCCCCCCCTCCACTTTTTTTTACATTTTTCTTAGCCAGATGGGTGTTCTAAATCAAGCTACTCTATTAAAGCTGAAATTGGGATTCTAGAACAATCATTTTGAAACAGATCAGGTCATGTCACTCTTCCATTTGAAATACTGCCACAAGTGCCATTGCCCAGAGTAAAATCCAAACTTCATACAAATCTAACAACAAAAAAAAGACGTCTGGCTTCCTCTCATCTTGTATTACTCTTATGTTGCTCATAATGGTTTAGTCAGCTGGTGTTTACCTCTTTCTAGGATGCTTTCCTCAAGAACTTTTTGTTATTCAGATCTCAGTTCAAATGTCACTTCTTCACAAATGCCTTCTCTGACCACACATTAGAGTGTAGTTCCTTCTTTCCACTCTGTTTCATGTTACCTTGTTTTATTTTCCTTATAGCACTTCCACCAGTGGAAATTATTATATTTATTAGTTTAATTATTTATTGTATTTCTCTCTCCATTAGAATGCAAACTTTATGAGGGCAGGAGACTTATCAACCTTTTTTTATGGTAGACTTTCCAATGACAAGAACAGGGCCTGGGACATAAAGCAGAATTGAATGAATACACATGGACATTTAATATTGTAGTGTATGGTCAAGGTTAAGTCAGGCTTTTAATTCTTGATCCAACAAGATCAAGTTGGAACAGTAGATTATGACATTAAAAACATTGTTAAATATTTTGTTTTGACTTTGCCGTGCATGAAGATTTTTGAGACTGCTCTAGTTGCTAGTAGCATTGCATGAAATCTTACAGTTATGCTTTTGTTTTCTCTTAGGACTCCACTGATGGATAACTGGTATTCTTTATCATATTTATACTTCAGCACTCTTGGAACTTTGGTAACGGTATTCATGGGAATGCTAATCAGTTTACCAACAGGTAACTATCTAAACATTAGTATTATTGTATTTACCTCTATATTAGTTTTTTTCTGTATCTATTTTATAGCTATTTATGTTATTTTTCTATAGTCCTGTTAACAACTAGTTTAATTACTTGCTCCATTTTCCTCATGGGAAGTTTGAGTGCCTGGACTTGAAAGCAGAAGATTCTATTTGAACCTTTGTTCTGCCATTTACTGGCTGCATAGACTTAAGGAAGTCCATATGGCTACTCTGAGACTTAGCTAACTTATGTGTAAAATGAGAATAGTGACGATTGACTTGCCTATCTCACAGGTTGCTGTAAGATAAAAATAAAGTGCTTGACAAAATCACATGTAGCTACTACAATGCTAGGATTTTACATGTATTATTACAACAATCCTATGTCATGATCTTTTCATTGTCCTATGCTGACTTTTTGTAAACTGTAAAGAAGAATACACATGTAAGGAATGATAATTACAGTCCTTACGTTTGAACATAGTGTGAGGCTTTTTTCACATGTCCATAAACTTTAAAAACATTATTTAAAGAAACAGACTGATAATACACATCGTATACACTGCTCTCTGGGATTGCTATAGAGCTGTTATTCTGGGACTTCATTTTGTCTTCATTCTGTGACTTCCCTTGGTGTCCCTCCTATGTTGGATTCCCTGTTGCCTGTATTCCATTATTTATAATTCTTGTTTATCCCCTTAACTGAATGGAGCACATCCTTTAGCATGTTCTTGAGAAAGGGTAGACAAGAGATTTTGAAGATGTGGTGTCTCTGGGAAAAAAAATGCCTTTAATTCCCCCTTATACTTGATTGATCATTTGTTTGATTAGAGAATCCTAAAAAAAATACCTTTCTTGTTTCTGAGAGGATGTCTTAATTTTCTCCTAGCTCATTATGTTGTTATTTAGAATGCCAGTGCCATGCTACCTGTTGGCCCTTTGCACATGACCCATTTCACAATGAGTGCTTTGCCCGAAGACCCTTCAGTTCAACGACATTTTCCTATATTATTTCTTTTGTAATTTCCTGTGATTTTCTGTTTTCTCTCTCTGGGAACTCTTCTTAGTCAAATGTTTGAGTCTCAGTTATTCTAATTTTCCTCTCTTTTCTCTCCTATTTTCCATCACTGTGTCTTTTAGGTGACTACATGGGATACTTTTCCAATTTCTTTTCCAATAACTCTCAAAGGAGCACTCTGATCCAGTTTTGAGAATAGTCTATAAGGGAAGGAGGGCAGGTAGGAGGCTATTGCAGTAATCCAGGTGAGCGATCATGGTGCCTCGAAGCAGGGCAGTAATGTAGAGTTAGTGAGAAGTGCTGGGCTCCCTGATTTCCTTCATTCCCTCACCCATGTACATCCATAACAACCAGAGCGGGGGAAGGTAGCCCCACTGCCCTCTTCATCAAATGTGCAGTAACTAGTCAGAAATCCCATACTTTGTCCTAGTATGTCTGATGTCTTTGTTTGCTTTATGCTACAAAGCTACAGCACTGTGCCACTTGAAGGAATTCTATCAATCCTGTTTTGTGGCTCCTGAATAGCACTGCCTTTCAAATTCTGTGATACTTGTATTTATAATTAATAAATTATATTAATAATTACCAGTAATATTAATATAATCATATCAACAATTATATTAATTATAATTATTATATAGTACAATGCACAATTATACATTTTATAATGTACATTTTATAATAAAGTTTGTAGCTATTTATTACTTCTCAAACAGTTGTTTTAAACTATTCTGTTTCTTTTCAAAGAGGACTGTGCCTTTCTTCATAAATTAAATTACCAACACAGTAAATTTATTCTTTTGTTTGTTTTGATATATTTTAAGACAGATTTTAAAGTTTTCTTACCAGTAACCCAATTATTCAGATCAGGAATACACCTAAATACATCTCCTTGTACTATTTGACCTTAGATCCTTGTTCAACCCATTCCTTTTTCTTTAAGAAAATGGAGTATCAGAGCATTCCCGTTGAGCACTTCCTTTTTTTTTCCTTAAAAGTATTTATTCTGATAACCATATATGACTGCTTCTTTTGTTTTATAAAGTCATGCTTTACCTAGGTGAGCAGGCATCCAGTGATAAAAAACAATTCAACTTCATTAATTTCATAAATGACTTATTTCCACTTCACAGCAGCAATGAGCACCTTGAAAAAATAATCTAGAAACATGAAATCCTTGGGAAATAAATAGGAATACTAGGACTCAGTAAGAATTCCGGCTATACAGACTTGGTTGGCATTTCAGTTTCACCTAACCACGTACTGTATACCGTGAGTGGGTCTGTCTCCTCATTAGTAAAATACGGTAAATAATGCCCTAAGTAGACCATGAGCTATGGGTAGAGTAATTGTTTTACTCATCTCTGTCTCTCTAGCATCTAGTGGAGTCTCTAGTGGATGGTAGGCACTCAACAATGTTGAATGAATTAATTTAAAGTTGATCCTGTCTCCAGAACAGCAGAGGTTCCCATAATTAAAAGCCTAATATTTGTACTGAGGTGGTGGTTCCCAAATATTAGAGAGCATGAAGATCACTTTAGAAATTTGTTAAAAATCAGGATTCAGTGGCCCCTTTCCAGAGTTTCTAACTGGATTGGTCCAGGTTGGAGTCTAAGAATCTGCATTTGAAGTACATCTATTAGATGATTTGTACAAAAGTAGTTTGAGAACCCATAGTTTTAAAAAGCTTTGTCTTTGATCTACAAATAAAATACCAAAACAAAGAAAAATTTTTATAAAGCAGAATGTTAGGGAAGAGGAGTTGAAACACCAATCATTATATTGATTTTTATTTAACTAATTTATTCAATAATTCATAATTTCCTGCATTTCTTCATGCACATCTGCATTCATAGCCATCAAACTAGGGGAAGGCAACTCCTCTGTCTGAAGCAGAGGCAAATGGCTTGATATTTTATTGGTAGATCACAGAGGATGCTTTTAAATCAGTTTCCCTACGAGTATTGGGCTCTTAGGTTAAGTACCATTCATCTTTAAACAGTAGACTCATTTGTCATAGTGAGGGGCTTGCCGGATCTAAGACTAAAAGAAGGGAAATGAACCAAGTCTTCAGCACTATGTAAAAGATTCTCTTTCTCTGTGTGTTTTATGAGTGCCTAGAGAAGAATGTGCACAAGTTAAATGCTTGTATGATGGGCCATCACTGGGTAGTTACAGATATTGTTTTAACATTGTGAACGACGTAAATGTTTTTCAGGAGGGAGAAAACAAAACTTAGACCGCAGATTCCTATTAACCAAAGAGGACTTTTTATCCAATTTTGACATTTTTAAGAAAGTAAGTTGGCTTTCTTTCTCCTTAAATTTGTAAGACTGTGCTTTTATCACCAGGATAGAATACCATTTAGTCCTCAGACTCTTTTGAACTCTGATGGACAAGGAAGGTATTTGCCCTATTCTTTGATGGTCTATTTCTGTTGTATATCTTGTCTTCAATAGACTACAAAGCTGATTTAGAGAAAGAAAAGCAGTAACAATTATTTAGAATTGAATAGTTCCTTTTTTTTCTAATCACTGTGTTAACATTTTCTTTTAGAAGAAGCATATTGTAAGTTATAATTCTCACCCAGTAGAAGACGGTGGAACTGATAATCCTGCCTTCAACCATATTGAATTGAACTTCCCAGATCAAAGTGGCAAGATGAGTGGGACTCATTTGTGAAACATCTGTGATACTAGATGATCTTAAACAGCGATCCAGTTATATATGTTTTCTAAGATAATTGGATCAGGTTTAGATTTCTTTTGGCGGGGAGGGTTCTATAATGAGTGAAGTTTTGGGGGAAATTTTCGGGGTAAAATTTTGTTAAAGCAAAGTGCAGACTCTTCACTTACTATACTCATTAATTGATGCTGCTCTGGAGTTAAGAGTTTCAGCATCAGCATTTCCCTCTATTTCTCTTTTATTTTAATGAAGCTGTCATTATGAAAGTTATGACCACATATATGCTGAAGGATTAACATACACATATACACACATACTTGATGGTCAAAAAGAGTATTTTTAAATTTGGCCATTATTAAAATTATTTTCCACGCATTTGATGCTAGCATATAAGTTTTGGGGTTTGCCAAAATCAGAAGTAATACTGAAAAGACCTTTTCTCCTTCCACAACATACTCTATTTTTAGGAAACAATGAGGTGACAGATCTGTGTTGTCTAGATCTTTGCTTCTCATTGATCCATACCAGCCCTATCAGGGAGCTTATTAACCTTGGAACCAATTCTAGTTCAGGAAGGTGGTAATCAAGAAGCATCCTGTTTGGGACAGAACATAGCCCCAGTGATCAAGGTCTTTTTGGTGCTATGTATCTATTCTTGTGCCTTTTTTGCTAATTATCTAGAGCTCCTGGCCATTGGCTGCTTATATTGCCTTACACTCTGGTTCTTATATGCAGTCCTAGTTTCTGACCCATCAACTCAGGTTTTGTTGTACACTTCACTTTGCTTGCCTTCCTAGTTTCCTATCTACTGTGTTACCTTGGGCTTCCATGTCTTGAGATACCCATCGTGAATCATGCTACCCAGATCCTTGTTCACTAAGTCCCAGACTATAAATTGGAAATCCTATGAGCCTGGTACTGACTAAAGTACTTGCAGCATAGGTACTTGTGGATTTGGTGACCCAAGAACATTTACATAATTGAAATGGTTAAGCTATGTGGAATTACATGATTGTGTTGAATGATACTAATTTGAATGTCAACTAATTTGCAGTCAATTGAATTTAAAGTGTGTATGCTTAGAAGTCTTGAATTCTAGTGTATTCACCCATTTAAAGAGCTAAATTACAAAGGCAAACACTACTTTTTTTTTTTAATATTCTGAATTACTAACTATATGCTTTGTTCCATGCTTTAAAACTTCAAGTAGCAATCTCAATTGCTAAGAGTTTGGTCACAGACTTTTATCAGTAACATTTTTTTCTACAGTTCCCACATTAGATACTGTTTAGAAATGTGTTTCTTTTGTTTGTTTGTTTGTTTGCTTTACAATGTTTTAAAATAACATGAGAAACATTTAGGTACATTAAATATATTTTAGAATTAAATACTTTTTTGCTTATTTCCTGGTATTTAGGTAAGTATGCTCTGTACTTTTAAAGGTTGCCAATTGAAAACATGAAGCGATAAAAAAATAGGAAGTAGCATTTGTCTAAAGAAAGAGATTTATATAACATTTAAATTAATGTGTTCATATATTTCATTTGTGTATAGATGTTATTTTTTTAATCAATATGTTTGTAAGCATGCATCAAACTGTAAATCTTTCTACATTTTTTAATGAGTAGGAAGATATCATCTTATTTGTTTTATGCAAGTGTGATTTGAACTATTATTTATTTAATAAGTGTAAATGCACATGTGTGTAGAATGCTTCAATTTTATGGTGACTAACATAATAAAATAAATTTAAAAAATCAATTTTGGAATCAAAGTCCAGTTATATAAATAATTTTTTTCCTTATCTAACTGCAAAGGGATTGTGCAAGGTATTTTTTTTTTTTTTAAAGATTTTGTTTATTTATTTGACAGAGAGAGAAACAGCGAGAGAGGGAACACAAGCAGGGGGAGTGGGAGAGGGAGAAGCAGGCTTCCTGCAGAGCGGGGAGCCCGATGCAGGGCTCCATCCCAGGACTCTGGGATCATGACCTGAGTTGAAGGCAAATGCTTAATGACTGAGCCACCCAGGCACCCCTATGCAATGGATTCTTAATGAGAGATATGATACTTCCATTCTTGTCCACTTTATTTAACCAAACATATCTTTGTGACTTTGGGAACTGTTGATATTTTACCTTTATGAACACATAAGAGTGCCAGACCAGATTCTTAAGAAATCAAAGTACTGTTATTAATTATGAAAAATCATTTACCTTTCTGAATCTTTGGGTGAAACCAAAGAGGTAAAATGTTAATATATCATAATGTAAATGAAATCATCTAATGTTCTTAATTATTTCTGAATTACAACAATCCCAACAGGAGGGAAAAGCCACATAAGTAGTCTATTTTCATTTTGTCATTGACAGATTGTATGACCTTGAATTTATCCTTAATCTACTCTAATGATGGAATTTAACTCTAAACACTTAACTACCTCACAGAAATAATGTGAGTATAAAAGATTAGATAGCACTTTATTAGCTCAAATAGTGCTACTTAAAATTTTAATATGATTGGAAATCAAAATTTGAGACAAAGGTCACTTGCTAGTTTTAAAAAAGACAAACTGTTAATAATTTGCAATGTAATGATGTGGAGATAGTTCCCTCTCTAAAAAATATGTGCCATAGAAATATTGAACTCTATTTAGGAACCAGCAGGATTATTCAAACAGAGGGAATGGAAACTTTAAAGAAAGCTACAGACCAATCATATTCACTCCACAGAGAAATGAAAATTTTATATGTAGGATGTAAAATGGTATAAATATATATGCATCTATTTGATTGCTTATGCATTAATTTTCTCTCTAGACCAGTGGTTCTAATGGGGCAGTTCCTGCCTGAACATTTGAAAATATCTGGATACATTTTTGGTTGTCACAGCTGGTGATGAGGTGCTACTGGCATCTAGTGGATAGAATTCAGGGACACTACTAAACATCCTGTAACACATAGGACAGTCCCTCTTCACAACAAAAATGATCCTGCGCCAGTATCAATAGTGTTGGGTTTAAGAAATCCTGCCCTAGAGGTTAAGGTTGCAATCTTGATTTTCCTGAAGTTACACACGCTGGTTTTGTTCCTTTAGGGAAATTCCCTTGACTCTTCTATCTGATCATTCTCATCTACAGGTGAGGAGTAAAGTTTCACTGGCATACACAATGTTAGGATACAGAATAATGACCATATATTTTCAAAGCATTTTGAAAATATTAAGGAATATAAAATTGTTAATAATTATAAAAACAACTTATGAAAGTTTCATTTTGCAACATGATTTCCAACATTAACGCACATTAAGATGAAGGAAATATCAAATATATGAATATGAAGATTTCATAATTTTGTTTTACTTTTGAAAACACCAGGAAGTATAGTTTATTTGTTAACAACTCAGTTTCTGTCCATGATGTAGACACAAAGGGACAGGGATAGGCTTGAGATCCGGGGAATGACTGTGTCAATTCTTGTAGGAAATTCTTAGTTTTTTCCAATAATAGTTGTTGATAGAGAGTCAACTGAATGCATGCACAGTTATTGAAAATTCACCACATAATTTAGTTATTGTAAAATTTACTTTTGTATATAAGTTGTGTGCCCATTGTGAAAAATCTTGAGGGAATTGAACATTATAGTGTAAAACATGTTTGCATTTCTGATTTTTCAACTTGCTGATTAAACTCTTAGTGCAGCTGGAGAAAATACTTTTCCAAAGACTCATGCTGTGCTGAGACATCTAACCTCTGATGGCTTTACTTCTTGGGAGGTGATCTTTATACCTAATTCCTTGTTGCTAAAGAATATATGAAGAAACCGCACCTTTTGTAGCTAGGTCTCTCTGGAAGAGACTTAAACTGGAAAGAGAAAACTGTGATTTTTTTTTATTTTTATTTTTTCTAAGAAAACGCTAATCTTAGCTACTGAAAGTTCTTTTGAGAGTAAATTACACACAATGGCCACAGCAAAGTGTATCTGCCTTGACTAGTATAGTGCCTATGTTGATTTAATCAGAGGTACGCAGTACTGCCTTTTTAAAGAACAGTGTATTTATTGAAAACATGGGATGGAATGTAGTGCCTTAATCAATATATTTTGTGATTTTTAAGATATATTTAAAACTGCTTTTCCGCTCTTAATAATACTTAGTGCAAATGACTATTTCTATGTACAAGTGACGCTTGTTTTTATTTTAATAAATTTCTCAAAATGAAAAAAAAAAGACTTGGAGAGAGGCAAGTGTCTTTGCAGTTGTCTGTTCTTGGGGAAGAAAAGTCAAATTGAATATAATTAAGTTTATCAGGTTTTACAGAGTTATTTCCACTCTACCACATAAAGGACTTTTTCTGTATATTACACGCAGATTATAAAAGTGTAAGCAAATAAACATGCAGAACTTTTGTCGCTGAAGAATATTTTATGCTTTAAGTAATTAACACTGTATTTGAAAATAAAAAGTCACATCTTCAGTACTGAAAATTTCTTAGCCATTATTTCTTTGAATATTTCCCCCTCCCATTTTCTCTGTCCTGTAACTCTTTAACTTCTATTAGGGGAATACCTCTTTATCCTCCTCCATGTCTCCTAATCTGGCTCATATTTTTTATCTTTTTATATTTAAAATTTTCAAGATGCATCACATACATATATATAAAAGGTCACTTTCTTTTCAGCTTTTCCTAATCTGCTACTTAATCTGTCCATTGAATTTTCCATTTCAATGACTTTATTTTCTTCATTTTTAGAGTTGGATGTGCTTTTTCAAATTTTTCAAAGTTTCCTATTCTTTCCTAAGATTGGATTCTTTCATTATGATTCCAAATTATTCTTTTATCTCTAATAATTTTAACCATATTTATTACTCTTATGTTATCTGAAATTCTTGATGTGCTAATTCTTCTACTTGCTCATTTGCTTACTGTTCATCATGGTGGTTTCTTTCCTTGTGTAGTTGATCATTTAACTGGAAGTTTATCTTCAGTAGGGGTTGTATTTTTTCTAGTGAGAGTTCCTTGGGCTCCGGTTAGTGAAAGTCTCTACAGAGAAGTTTTAAATCAGCTTTGGCTGTGCCCGTGTTTTAATTGCCGTCTACCAATCTTACATCATTATCTCAGGTTAGGGCTTCTGTCTTAGGTTCACAGGATCAATTTTCATCCTTTATCTATGCATGGCACAGGGTTTAGGGTTGTAGTCTCAGGTACTTTCCTCACCATCAAAGACTTGGAGAGAGGCAAACTTTCTTGCTGAGCGAAAGAAGTCAATCAGAGAAAGACATGTATCATGTGATCTCACTGATATGAGGAATTCTTAATCTCAGGAAACAAGCTGAGGGTTGCTGGAGTGGTGGGGGGTGGGAGGGTGATAGACATTGGGGAGGGTATGTGCTATGGTGAGTGCTGTGAATTGTGTAAGACTGTTGAATCACAGACCGGTACCTCTGAAACAAATAATACATTACATGTTAAAAAAATAAAAAGCAGGAAGGGAAGAATGAAGGGGGGAAATCGGAGGGGGAGACGAACCATGAGAGAGTATGGACTCTGAGAAACAAACTGAGGGTTCTAGAGGGGAGGGGGATGGGGGGATGGGTTAGCCTGGTGATGGGTATTAAAGAGGGCACGTTCTGCATGGAGCACTGGGTGTTATATGCGAACAATGAATCATGGGACACTACATCAAAAACTAATGATGTAATGTATGGTGATTAACATAACATAATAAAAAAATAAAAATAAATAAAGATAAAGTAACTCAATGTAGAAAATCCTAAGGAGGATGCCAAACTGCTGTTAAACTCATGCTGAGTTTAGCAAGATCACAGGATTCTGGTCAATAAAAAGTTGTACTTACAAAAATAAAATAAAATAAAATAAATTCCCTTTTAAATAATGGTACAGTTCCTCAAGGCTTCAGGCTTCTGGTGATACTTGGAATAGAGTTCTCACTCTTCCACATTTTGGAAGCAGAAACCTCTGTCCCCATGAGGACCCACGAACTCATCAAGAACTATACCTTCATAGGTTATTCAGCATCTGCTGGTACCATTGCTATGGTTTCAGCTTTTTTTTTAAATTGAAGTAAAATTGGTATATAATTAGTTTTAGGTGTACCGCATAATTTGGCATTTTCCTACACTGCAAAGTGATCACCATATTATTTACCATCCAGCACCATATAGTTGCGCCCCTTCACTCTTTTTGCCCACCTCCCAACCCTCTTCTTCTCTGACAACCATCAATCATTTTTCTTTTCAATATTGGGACCTGGTGTTTCCCTTTTCATTCTTTTTTTTTTAAATTTATTTATTTAATTGACAGAGAGAGAGAGACAGCGAGAGAGGGAACACAAAGAGGGGGAATGGGGGAGGGAGAAGCAGGCTTCCCGCCGAGCAGAGAGCCCGATGTGGGGTTCGATCCCATGACCTGAGCTGAAGGTAGTCGCTTAGCCAACTGAGCCACCCAGGTGCCCCTCCCTTTTCATTCTTACAAGTTTGACTATGTATTAAAATTTTTGTTTTGTGACATTTTATCCAGAATTTCTGTATGTTTCTAGCAGGAGGAGCCCGATCTGTCTGAGTATGGACTGTAACTTTTCGAAAGTTCTGTTGTTATTATTATTCTTTTCATTTGCTTAATCCTGGGCTGTGGAGGCATGGGGAGATAATTCATCACTCATAGCAATTTCAAAACAATGTGCAAAATAGGATAATCTGTTATAAACTG